TGCCTTCGTCCAATGACAATGCCAAAGGATCAAAATGGTTAACGAAATATTTGCGTAGCGGAGACTATTGGAGAAGAAGATGAAGAAGATCAATAAAAGAGAATTTGGGAAAATCAATTTGTTGTTTTATGCATAAAGAAGCCAACAGCTGCTGTTTATGGCAAAAACAAATTTTAATTAACTTATTCACTATAGAAATTCCTCTAAATTTTCTGTTCGTTTTTCATTTCGAAATTTTACTACAAATTCATGTTTATTTTCTTTATAAAATTTAAGATAAATAAATATGATTTAAAAATGCACAAAAAAATTTTGTTGAAAAATAAACAGAAAAGCGTAAAGTTTGCAAATATTTGGCATTTATTTTGGAAATAAAATAAACAGTTTGGAAAAGAGAATTTCTAATGAGCTGCTGGTGGATCGTGAAAATATTTATTTAGTACTTTTTTCCTTGGTAGTGTAATGAGTAGGCATTTTTTTTTTGTTTTGGCTTGAGAGAGGCGTAGGCGTGTACCGTTTGCTTGAAATTGGTATTTGTGTGTGTGTGAGAGAGTTTTATGCAGACTGTTTAAGTTACACAAACATTAAAGGGATTAAGGTTAGGAACGATCGTTTGCAAATACATACAAACATATAGAAATTTACACATTTACGCCAGCTACGTGTGTGCGTATGTTTTTATTTATGTTTGCCTTAAAGATCAGCACCTAAAACAAATTTCGAAACTATTTTCCATGCTTTCCTTCATGGAAGAGCGGAAATATCTGAACTAAATATCTAATGTAAATAACTGCAAAGGGTTCGACAGCTTAGCTCCATGTGCTTGATAATCTAGATCGGGGTTGAGATGCAAAAAATCATTCACTGACTTCATGATAGACTTCAAGGTAGTCACCTCGGATAGAAACTTTTGAAGCGCGCTAGCATCAGCAAGTGCCGAATCGCTTAATTTTTACACGAAACTTTTCATCTGTAAATCTTTTCGCTTACCGGATCACTGTAGCGTTTTTCAGGCAGAACTGGTGGTCATACATTAGGCTGTTAACTGTCTCAGATCAGCGGTACTTTCGTATAATCGTATCCAGATCTTCTCGGTTAGCCAGGCCGCATTACAAGCGTTGGCGTCTGTAACAGTAAGATCCTTAACCGTTAAGAACAGCCGCATGTTATGGGTAACGGGTCATAGTAACATACCGAGCAATGAGATGGCGGACGAGCTTGCAAGGAAAAGCACTTCCCTTCCACTTTCGCCAACATGGAAGAGTTTGGGCAAGGCCACTCTCTACTTGCAAGCTCAATATTAGAGAGTTATTCGTTAATGATGCCAACTCAAGATGGAAAAGTCTCAACGTATGCAATTTGGCCAGCACAATATGGCCAGAATGGAGGAGTAAAAAGTAAAGTGACCTTCTCGAGCTGAAAAGGAGGGATATATCTACAGCTATGGGTCTTCTTACAGGACATATCTTATTAGGCAGGCACGCTGAGAGATTGGGCGTGAGATTTAATGAATTCTGCAGACAGGAATATCTTCACAGCGGGTTAGAAGTTTAGATTTATAGTCGACTCTTCGTACCTGATCGAGACGGATTTTCTTTCAGCCGACTATTATCGCTCTCACCACATTCCCCGAAAACATTATTTACAAGCAACATTTTTGCGGTTACAACAACATCATCAACAACAACCAATTTATATCGGAGTTCCGAGAATGCACAGGCATTGACACGTCGCTCAGAGTATTGCGTGCTTGTGCGTTTCAAACATACATATTTATTTATTTCCTGCATAACCCACTAATTACAAATTAACCCACAGTCAACAAATCATCCCCAGAGGCCCAAATACATACACACCCACACATACACACACACTATTATTTTTCAATAGTTTTGTTGACAGTTACAAGCAGCTCATAAACAAATTTTCTTTTCTTTTGCGTGCTCTCCCCACCAACAACCACCGACCATATGGTCACAACCAGCTCCATATAACCACCACTAATCGCTCCACTAATCTCCATCGCGCTGTGTTGCATCAGTAATAAAAAAATTTCCTCAAATTTCTGGTTGAATGGAACGCCAAGGTTGGATTAACACCACACAACCGAAGTGTGAATAAAAACATACACACATAAACAGCCCAGCTGAGCAGTCGCACGCACTTCCTCCGCCTGCAGCAATGCAGCAGCCGCGGCAGCAAGCGTCGCTTGATAGCTCCAATAGTTCATAAATAGTATTTTAAAGACTCGCTAAGCGTTTTATTGAATTCTATGCACATTTAGGCATATGAGGACTGCTACAATTCTTTCGTCTGAGATACATAAATAATATGTATGTGTGTATGTGTACATTTTTAGAAATTTTTAACGAGCTCTCCAACACTTCGCTGCCACCCCAGCTCTTGTCTGCGTTTCCTTCTCTCTTATCGCAGAGCTCCTTTCCGGTTGGCATTTGGTGGCTCTCTTGCGGTATTAGCGGAGACACACTCATTCAAACAATTCGATAATGTTTAATAAACAATTATTATGGCTTCATAAAACTTGAAAGTGGCTGTCAGAAGGAAACCGTAGTAATTCAAGTGGCTGATGGGATTAGAAACATTCAAATTACGAGGAATAATATTTTATATGAGTAATACTCGCGTTTATGGGTATATTTATTTGTGCAAGTATATACATACATACATACATGCAAACATACACATGTAGATATGTATGTGTAATTTTGTAAATAAATAAGCAAATTCATGCTTTATTTGAAGTGCTGAATATAACGCAGTGGCTCGGCGTGAACGAAAGCAATGTTCGTTTCGGCCTTAACATCCCCAGTAGCACATATAAACGCCGAAAACCGAGCTTTCGACCGCGCGACGTGGCTAACTGGAAGGAGTTAACTTCATTACACCGAGAAATATCCAGAAAAGTGGACTTAATGCACTTGAAGAGCTCGCATTTTCGGTTCCTCAAAAACACATATCATCCCTTCAGTATCCGCGCTGCGCTGTTAACAAGAAGTAGTCCATCTCACACGTTTTTCACACGCACCCACTTCGTCTTGGCCTACAACACGAATCAATTGACTATGGTGTATTTGCCGAAACCCAATGTTCGGTCATTCCAGCAAGATGTACCAGGAAAATTCCATTTTTTGAGCAGTGGCCCCTAAGAATTCTAGACGAATTTTGGGCCAAAGCTTTGAACTCTGCTGTTGGTCCTTCTAAGAGTGCGCAAGATCTAAGGTATTTTTGAAGTTGCCAAAAAGGAAAGTGAATTTTATATAGGGCTCTGTCTTATTCCCTCGTTTGGCTTACCACTACCGCACATATGTTTTATGTCGGAATTGTGGTTGTTGTAGCCCCAAAAATATTGCCAAAATAGTGAGAGCTCTTGACCAGATAATAATCCGGGTCGTTCCGGTGTAAATGTCAGACTGTCGAGAGAACTTTTGGATTTTAGTCGCCTCCTACCACAGGCATAGCCTACCGCGGGAAAACTCTTGCACCCCTACCTCGCGGGGTATTCGGAATAGTGGTCAATATACCCGTAATAAAAACCTATAGATGCGAACCGCAAAGTTGGGTGAGATTAAGTTGAAGGAGTTGCTGTGCATGAGCTCATTTCTGGTACCCCATGGATCCATTGTAATATCATTGACAATCCCTAGAGACGCCCATCGCTGTTAGTCATACCAATGTATGGAGTTGGTCGCCCAATTAGTGTTCAACCTACTGCTTCCAAGTGCATGGCTTTCGCAAAGAAAGTTCTTTAAGGTTTCAGCTTCTCCTCTCCTCTACAAAACTTGCATACTTTCCTAATAGAAGATGTTCTGTTTAAGGCCCTATAATGATCGATAAATTCCTTCTTTTTAATGTTGACGAAGGTAAGTCTCCTATCTTGGGAGACCGGTTCGTCCTCTAATTATCTGCTGTGTTATTGTATTGCAGCACCCAAAGCAGGTGCGATTCTTTCAAGTTTCTGACTTAATTGTAACTTTGCTTAGAGCTTAACTTTTGATGACTGATCCTCCAGCGTTTTTGCAAGATTTGTCTACAAAGCGCTCCCCCTTTAATTATTGTGAAAAATTCCCATGAATTTGAAAAATATCAAGTACTTACATATGTATGTGCCCTTCTACAAGTGGTCTCTCAGCCGCGGCGGTTACTAACGGCAAGATCAAAATGCATCCATCAACAGAAATGCACCACAAAGCGACCAAAGTTTATGCGATGATGATGCTTGTTTGACAGGCAGATCCGGCAGTGTGAAGTATTTGAATCGTATTCGTACTGTTTGATGCTCTGAGGCGTAGCAGCACTACTTTTTTTTTTGTGAATTTCTACTTAATTAATTGTTTATTGTTTATTTATTTATGATTGGCTCAGCAAGTACGTTGTTGATGTTGTCGTTTTTGTAGCGGTTTCAGCAAGTACGTAATGGGGTTTAGTATGTAAGAAAGTAGAGCCTCGTCCTCATGAACTGACGACTGCTCTAAACTTTTTAAAAGAGTAGCAACTCAGATCGGTTGGTTTTGCTCACGAGGGAAGTAATTTAACTATCTCTTGATATTACGAGCTCTGTCCAAATAATGACCCAATGTAACAATTACAGTGCTATGTGGAACTTCAACGGTCGTTGGAATAGATCTGCATCTTTTAGAGTAAAGAAGATTTCAGGCTTCGGTGTTAAAATAAATGGAGGTCCTCATTAGGTTGGCATATTTCTTATCCTTTCTATGTATATTTCTGTTCGCAGTGATGACTCGTGAAAAAAAATCAGTTTCAGAAAATGATAATGAGATATTAGAATGCACATATGTATGTATTAAGGTACACAAATAATAAAAAAAACTGCACTAAAAACTTGATAAGAACTTCGTAATTTTTGATCAAAATTTTTTAAAGTATTTTACAACTTAATTAATATTTTAATCATTAATAATAAATCCCTTGTTAAGTAGTCTTTACTTCGGAATCCATTCAGCTCCCTGCAATTTACTACTGGGCTTAAGCAAAACATTTGCCAAACAGCTGATTTCCTTCAACTCCAACAAATGTCAAAACTTTGACATTTCCTTTACCGCTGCACAATCGCCTTCAATTGTTAATCAGCTGTTTACTTTTACTCTTCGTTGTACACAAAATTTTTGTAGTTTTAATAAATTGATTAATTGGGTTTTTTGTGCCGTGCAAAAGTGTTTGAATTCATAAAAACGGGGTTTTTCGAAACAAAAAACACGAACGAAATTCAATGCAAGCAACGTGACAGTTTAAACATAGCAGGAGCGCATCTAGGTCGAAGGGAGAAGGCAACGACAAAGCAATGGATGAACCAACGCCGTTATCACGTAAGGAGTCTGAATACATCGACCATGTAAGTATATGTAAGTCGAAGTAAAAACTTTAATTGATTAGTTACTTTATAGGATCTTCCGCTGCAATCGCTCCTAGCGCCAACATACCTACGCGATGCCAATAATTACTTAATTGATTTTATGGAGCATGTACCGGGGACCAATGTAAATGGACTTACCACCTCAGCAAATGCCATATCAACAACGAGCAGTAGTGATGTTGGTGCTTTTAATTTAAAAATTTCCCAACCAGTTTCGCTGACATCCGACCTACATTTTCCCAATACACTTTTCCATTATCGACCGACACAGAGTGATGTGGCTGCGGTAAATAATGTGAGTGGCGTTACTGAAGCTACACTGAACGCATTGAATGCACCAACTCAGCAGCCAACTACGCCACTACCTTTGGTACTGAGCAGCAGTAATAGTTCGAACAGTTCTAGCAATAATGGCAGCGCCTATAATCATAACAAACATGCACAATATATCCTCAATGATGATTTTCTTAGCGCCAGTGCGGCTAAATCTTATTGTGATGACAGTGATGTGGTGCATCAGGTTGGCGAAGATGCAGCGGTACAGCAATTCTTACTTGCGGACGCCAATGTCAACTTGGATGATGCTGCTGCTGATCTCATACAAGCTGATGACGATGTGCTCTATACCAGGCATGTGTCCAATGCACGTAAAGTGTTGCCGCATAAAAAACGTATTTCACGTAAATTACGTGTGTCGCTGAGCGGCGTGGATAACATGATGCCACCACCATTGGTTGGTGGTGTCGTAAATAGTTCTCCGGAGGTGATTCGCTTGAATGCATCAGTGTATAATTGTGAGATTTGTGGTAATGCATCGCATTCGCAGTTGCAGTTTTTTAATCATCTCAAACAGCACTATGAGCCGACAACGCCGGATACGATATTGGCCGCTATGAAGACGTCTTTGGATGAATTGAAGCCTCAAAAGGCTTTGGACGAGAATAAAAAAGTGAGAAAATGTTAAATTGTATGAGGTGTTAGTGTGGCAGTGATTTAGTAGGTTTGAAATTTATATGTTTGCCCAAATCATATTAGTTTGCGCCTAAAAGTATGCAATGTGCGATGTATAAAATTATGTATATTATTTGCCTCTCAAGCTGGAATGCTTGCAAAGAGGGGTTTAACAAGAATTTATGGCGTATGATTTCTCGGTTATGTATGCATTTACGGTTCATCCGGGTGGATTGTTTGAATTAAAACTCAGTTTTTCGCTTAGTTTCACTGCCATTTTTTCACAATGCGTTTACAAATATCTTTTTAATATATATATATACATTTTCCATTTCCTCAAACAGGCATCCAGCAATAACGACGAGCAAGTTTTCAACGATGTACATTTGAATTTCCCAGATTTTGAAGACGTGGACGAAACGTCAATGCATAATGTGTTAAACACCGTAGCTGCAAGGAATGATGAAATAAAGAATTTAAATTCGAATGACATAAATAAGTGCATGACTTACGTAGCGCGCACGCCATCTCCGCCGTTAAAGCGCACTGTCGAGGTTGAATTCAGTGATAGTGAGGACATGCTGGAGGGCATACGCAATGTAGTGGACAAGGTTTCGATTGAAGATACCTGCGATGCGCTCGACTTGATGACTTCAAATGGCATACGCAATTCATGGTAGGGTGTTAAAATCCATTAAAAGATTCATCTAACATCAACTTAACTCCTTTGCAGGTTCACAAATGACAACTTTACTGGTATGGTCTTTAAAAATAAACCATTTAATGATGTATCGTTCGCAGAGCCGTTACCACCAATGCCTATGATGGTCAGAACAATTACAATAAGTAAAGGTAAAACAACGCGAAAGGACTCAACAACGTTACCACCTGCAGAAAAACTGTTGGCATACCAAAAGTCTGACGATCGTAAAGGTAGAGCAGCTTTGAGACTACCATCTTTATCGCTGCCGCAAATACGTTTGCCTAACGTCAATACTACCACTACAGCGACGGTTGATGATGTCGATGCGGAGCAAGTGCGTTGCTCATCGCCACCAGTGCCCACAACTCCAACGGATCTGCTAGCACCACTAAACGTTGAACCATTCGAGTTGCCTGTTAGTCCACCAACACAAATACCACCGGTCATAGAAGATACAGTTTTCTGCAAACAAGAGCCAGACACCTACGAATATGAGGAGAGTGAAGTACAATTTGAAAATTACGGTGCACTCGAAGAAACATATCTGGCCACATCCAAAATAGCAAAAAGTGATGTTGACGTAAGTGATCAAAAGAAATTCGCCTGCACCAAATGTGACCGTAAATTCAATTCACGCAATGCACTCAAATATCATCATCGCACACACACGGGCTTACGTCCGCATAAGTGCGATATGTGTAATATGTCGTTTTACGCATTGAATGCGCTTAAAACGCACAAACGTACGCACACCGGCGATAAACCGTACAAATGTGAACACTGTCAACGTGATTTTCGGCAATGGGGTGATCTCAAATATCACATCATATCGATACATACGGCTGAGAAGAATCATCAATGCGAATATTGTGGCAAATCCTTTGCACGCAAATACTCCTTGGTGCTGCATCGTCGCATACACACGAGCGAACGCAATTTTATTTGCGAATTCTGCCATAAGACATTCCGTGCGAGCACCTATCTGCAGGATCATCGAAAGATACACACCGGTAATTGCATGCTTTTAACAAAACTTTTTGTCATTTCTCTAAATTCTTTGCGCTCACTTTTTCTTGACAGGTGAAAAGCCATACGAGTGCACGATTTGTGCGAAACGTTTTCGTATGCAGGGCGATATGCGTCGTCATATGGGTATACACGAACGCAAGGCAACGAAAAAGCCAACGTCGAATGGCAATGAAGGGGGGAATGAGGAAAATACTGCAGTATTAAGCACAGAAAAAGCACCAAGCGATACTTAGCGGTTTTGCGCTTATGGAAAATTCAATTCAAGCGCTGCATTTTTAGCTGGTGGTAAAGAACTAAGTTCTGAAATAGATTCTGTTAAGAGCAAATGTACAAAATATTGCAATATTATATACCAAGACATACAGATGCACATATATCTATGTACGAGTACATACGTGTATATAAATTTGTATGTCCGCACAATGGTGAATAAATTTGTACGTTAACCTATCCATGGTCAATTTATTATAATAGTTAAGTACGTTATAATTAGTGTGTAGTATATAGAAATGACTGATTTATATAATAATAAATTGATTATGGATTTTATTATCGAATTGTTTCACTCGATTTAATTATGCTGATTGTCTTACTTACCTCGAGTGGCAGAAAAAACTCTTAAATGTGATCTTAAAGCTATTTTTAACCTCATGTGTACTCTGTGTGAGGCGTCTGCCTCTGTAAACTCGTAAAACGAAGAAGCACAGCAACATAATAGACATATTGGAACAGTAGAGCCTGTCAACTAAGGGAAGTCATGTGGTCTCAAATCACTTCTTTTTTCAGTAGCCCGCAAATACTTTTGGTTTCGTTGCTACCGAATAATTGTTCATGACCATATGAACCTAGGTACCTCTTGTTGTTGTTGTTGTTGTTGTAACGGTTATTCCAAGCCCGCTAAGGGACATGCTACTTAGGCTAAGCCACCGAGGTCATCTAACGGGATGTCCAGGAAACGAGCTGTTTCGAGGAGTTCGAGCCAGATGGAGAGGGGGTTAGATATGTCGGTTTTATGTGGGTATGAGAAAGGTGTATTTAGTGTCGTATGGGAACTCATCGCATGCTGGACAGACGTTGGGTATGTCGGGGTCGAGTCTGTATAGGTAGTAGTTAAATCTAATACAATATCCAGATCTAAGTTGCACCAGTATTATGCGGATCTCCCGGGGCAGCACGAGCTCTTCGTCTGCTGAGGGTGATGAATTGACTGAGAGATTGCAGGGAGTTTTTGAAGGTATTAACTGACTCCTGGTGAATGGCGTTTTAGTACCTAACTGTTTGCCGTACTGTCCAGCGATTGTTGCATGTGTTCTTCTTGATTGCTGTAGACACTTTCTACGCGATAATAGTCGAATTAAAAAGAAATCGTATCATTTATTTATTCTCTTCAACGATCATTGCCGTTCTGGAAACACCAAGATAGGTCCAAACGTAGGGAAGACCTTCCATTTCCTCAGCTTCCACCACCAGGTGCTGTATCGAATACCTGCAGAGCTAAAGCACTGCATTTCCTCCGAGCAACCTTACCTGATCACCTCAGCCGTTGTCTGTACCGCACTCAACGCCATAAAATATCAGTTCATTCGTAGTGCCAACCGAAATCGGTGGCAGTTGTGAAGAGTTAAAAGACAGTGTATAGCAACTACTTTTAAAAGCTGGATAAAGCAGTGAGTATCAGTTCCATCCAGCGTTTGAAGTCCACACAAGGTAAGAAATGGCATTGACAGCCTGTACACCAGTAGAGCGCAGTTGGAGAAAACACAGACTAATCGAAATACCTTGTCTACGCCGGCGAGAGTCAATCTCATATCAAATGTCTACTATTTACATAGCGAGTTCCCAAATCTTCCTAACCACCGCTGGAATCACTCGTTTTATTCTCCTCTCCTTATTAATAATATCTTCGGAGATATCTCCAACCGTTTTAACATACATACGCTCAAACTATCTCATAAGTATGGCTCAATTAAAAACTAAATATTCACTTCTTCTCCATCTTATTTGCCATAGGTACCGCTGTTTTCGGTCTTTTCTTCCATTTGCTGACGCTGACTGGAGGCCCCTAGTGAAGTCAGATTCTATCCAAGGGATCTTTTCAATGGAGGTGAGGTCTTTCCTTTCATCTGTTGGGGTTACAATACCGAATGTTTCCAAGCCTCTAGAGTTTTCGCCCGATCAACATGATCAGAGGAGACTAGTCCTGGGTTTTATATGGAGACTGAACTTAGACATGAGTAGATATACAAAATTTTCAAAAACATCAAAGCTATTCTGGAGCTTAACAGATTCTACAACATACTGATCCTCTTAAAACTTTACAAGTTCAACGTGCTCCTCTCTTCCTAAGCACTTTTCTAGCAATCTTCTTTCTCATGTCACCTCATTTCCTCCTTAAGAAGACCTTAATTAATGTTTCCAAACTAGTGAACCATTACAACAATAACGAGCGCAAGCGCACTGCTATTTCAATTGGGTGATCTTTGCCTCCATAAGCCGATACTGAATATAAGCATATACTAGAGTTCTCGAGATAACGACACTGAAGTGATTTTCGGCAGAGATTCTCCTCCACTTTGATGGTTGATGTGCATCTTGATGTTTTCCCAACAAATGGAGAGACCTACAGCGGTATAAATTATGAGAAGCTTACATTTCAAGTCAGTCATTCATAATCTCTACCGAGGGGCAAGCGCTATTAGAAAAAACAATTTTCTATAATCTTTCGATGTTGGTAATGCCAGGAATCCAACCTTGTGCTACTGAATGCTATTACGCAAAGCTAAACCCTCGTCTATAGCGGCCGCTGAAGAGGGTTATTGGGAATTTTTAGTTAACTCTGCAGTTTAGGAGTTCAGGAACTTACCTCCGGTATTAGGGTACTAAACCTCATAAGCCCCAGTGAAAATCAGATTTTTGTACTATCCGAATAAATCCAAAAATAACATATTTCTTCAAATCAATTTGGGAATTTTTGCAGGTTACAACAATAAAATATTATATAAATCGTATTCGCTATTGCACAGTTCTTCAATGGAAGCTTTCAACCAACAAAGAAAACTTTAATCCCGTAATATTCGGTTATTGGCTTCTACTTCGTGTGCCTTTCGTTCTGTTTCAGTTAGCGGTTACTAATTTTGAATCAAGTAGGAGGCTATTGTTGTTGTTGTTGTTTGGTATTTGTAACTCGCTGAATAGTAGAAAAAGTTTGTTGATGTCGTCGAGATCATCTAAAGCGGAAGCTCAAGATGCGAGTTTTTTCGAAGGTTGCTGACTGGGTTTTAGTGACTATGAGAGGCGGTGTTTAGTATTGTGCGGTGTCTCACTGCCTACAGGACATATATATGCCCATCTGCGTCGAGTCTGCATCTCTACACTAAGGTCAGTGGCAGTATGAGAATTAGTTGGAGTTGCATGTTGAGGCTTGTTTGCTGAAATACTAGAAAGGCTGAACCTTTTAGCACCTGAAAAGTTATGGAACACTTTCTGTTATTATTTTATATTATTTTAATTTATTTTATTTTTGTTTTATTCAATCTTCTTGCACTTCTTGTGTGTATGTATGTATGTTATTTATGTACTTACTTATACATATGTACAATATTTAGATGAGAATGTGTGTTTTTTTTTCGTTTGTTATCATTACCTCTATGTGTGTGTATGCCTTATCTGCTTACATACATACGTGTATGTACATAAATTATTTGTATGTTTATTTTATTTTTATTAATTTTATTTAAATTTAATTTTTTTATTTTATTTTTTCTTACATATTTGTTTTTTTTTTTTAATTTATGCTTAAGTTATATATATATTTTTATTATATATTATATTTTTTTTTAAATTTTTAAAATTTTTCAAATTTTTCACCCACCACTCGCCCATGTTTTGTGTCTTTTACCGTTATCCAGCAGTGTTTTGAATTATAAATTTTTTATTTTTTTCACTTTGACTTTATTGAAGTTTCTTTTTTTTGTTTGTTTGCAATTTGTTTTCATACAGTTTTTGATATTTATGTATTTATAATTATAATCGTAATTGTATTTATATATATATATATACGTATTATTATTATTTATAAGTACTTCTTATCTTCTTACAAACTAAACGTACATTATTTTTTTCTCAGTCAATGATACTTTTAATGTGTCTCAAAAATACCTACATAAAATAATAACAACACAAACAAAAAAATTCTCCCAAATTCACAAAATGATGTGTCGTCCTCGTCGTAGTCCGCCGACTTTCGTGCCGTACACTGTCATCACACATTCTCGTGCACAAAAATGCACATTTGCAGCTATTACACTTATTACAGTATGTCTGTATGTATGTATGTACATGTAGAAATGCTTTTTGCTGTTACTGTGGAGCAACTGTTTTTTTTTACGGTTTTTATTTTTTTTTTACCAATTTCGCACATTTTCAAATATATTTTGGCGCTCCTCTTCAGTTTTATGGCAATAATTGTTGTATTTGTATGTATGTTAATATGTATGATTTTTATGTAAGTGTCAGTGTTTTCACGCCTACATTCTCCGGGATTTTCTTTCGATTTTTCTTCCTGTTTGTTTGTATAAATTCAGATGCATTTTACAGTAAAAGTGTCGTTTTGCTTTTATTTTATTATATTTTTTTTAATACAATTATTGATAAGCGGTTCACGGGGTGGGGTGGTTGATTTTTTGTTTGTATAAATATGCATATGCAGTAGCGGTAGTTGTAATTAGTTTTTGTTTTCTTAATATGGTTTAATAATAATTTTTTTTTTTTGCTTTGGTAAAATATTTTTTGCTGCTATTTTTTCTCGTTTCCCTTTACTATTAATGCATGAATTGTTATATAATACAATATATAGAGGCAAAATAAATGTTTGAAAATTGCAATTTTTATTTCATGTTTTACCTTTACAGACATAAATACAATACATGCATCTTTTACATACATACATAAATTTCTTAAGCTCTTATTAGCATACGCAAAACATATAGAAAAAACATAATTATTTTAAATTTTTTTTTCAATTTTTTTAATACCATAATTAAGTGTTTGCTTTTTAATTTTACTGGGAAGCCTTTAAAAATACTTAATTTTTTTATAAAAAAAAAATAATATTCTACATAAACAGAATTTACATTGCACATTTAAATGAAAAACAAGGACACAGGTTGAAATGGCAAATTTTAAGGCTCAAGCAACGCTTTTAACGGTAGATAGCTTTTGAATAAAAAATTAATATTAAAAAATTAATTTCAATAAAATTAAAAAAATTACCTACTAATTGTGTTACAAAACATTGGCATTTAAATTTTTTTTTATTAATTTTTTTTAATTAAATTTTTTTATTTTTATTTTGTTGCAAAGTTTTTTGAAATTAAAAAAAAATATATATATAATTTTTAATGCGCTTTGCATGCTTTTCTTTATAATGGGCTAAAATCTTGCTTTGTTTGGTTTTTTTTTTTAGATGAGCTCTTGTGCTTTCTATTACTTCAAATAATTTTTTTATGTTCATTTTCTTCTCATGCTAATTTTGCTTATTTTTCGGTACAGAA